GAGCAATGAAAGAAGCAATGAAAGAAGCAGAAGTACAGAGTGTTCATGTGCAGGAGTACTCTGACTTAAAACAGAGAGAGGGCGTGATCACTCTGACCTTCCTATTGTGTCTTAAAAGTAGGAGATGAAATTTTCATGTGACACAATTATCGCTTCGGACAGAAAGTTGAGGCCCTCCTTGTTATGCCAACCCTCATCTTCCTGGTCATTTCTCCACCCAGTTCACCCAGTCTCCTCGGTTTTTCTCATTTTCATAATTTATCACTATCTGTCCAATCCAGGAGCTAAGTGTGCAGTGAGTGCCTCTCTTGATCTTCTTCCCTGTCACATGAGACTCATATTAAATACATCTGCATGCTTTTCTGTTGATCTTCTGTCAATTCAATTCTGAGGGCTGGCCAAAAAACCCTAAGAGGACAGAGGTAAAATGTGCCCCCCCCCACAGAGATTTACTTGAGATTATGGAGAACTTCATTACCAGCAGGCACTTTCTTCTTTTCATAGTAAGGGAGACCATAGTAAGGAACAGACTGATGGTGTGGCTTAGTGGTAAGAGCGCATGCTTAGCATTCACAAGGTCCTGGGTTTAATTCCCAGCACCAGCAGAAGAACAGTAAGAAGGTCATACTAGTACCTCATAGGAGGAAAACAAGCTTGGATTTAGGGATCCTAAACTCTGCTTTACAGTGGGAATTCCACTGCAAGAGGCTGGGCTAGGGCTGGATAAGGCTCCTGCTGCAGCAGTGTAGGATCCAGGTACTTTTTCATGCTCTAGCAACCTCTTCAAAGCATTCTTGTCATAATGTTCTGCTTTCTGCCTTTGATACCTTTTTTCTGCAATGACATTATCTAATTGTACTCCTTTAAGAGTAATTTATGAACAGAAATTTTGTATTTAAAAATTTTCACATTTAAAAAAATTAGATAACCTGTATTTCCTGGCTAAATTTAGACATTAAAGTTGAGTTCTATTGCATAAAACAGAGAAATTCCAAGACACAAACCTTTACTTCTTAAATTTTAGAATGCATCTTAATCTGACTATAAGCAAGCAGAAACCCACCTTTATGTGGTCTACTAAAACAGAGACCCTAAGCCAATCCTCTAAACAAGGGAGGGGACAGGAAGCCACCTTCATGGTCACAGACCACATGCCAGCAATGGCTGTGCTGTGACAGATGCCAAGATGGCCTCTCATGCTAAACAAAAGAGGTCTTTAGGGTAAGAGTAGCTCCAGTGCAAAGGACACTGGGTGTGGGGACTCCTGTCCTCCTGCTGCAACTTCACTGAACTGCAAATGAGGCCATGGTAATGATGCCTCCTCACCAGCTGTGAGGCAGCCTCTAACAAAAATACCCACATTGTATTGATTCCTGGCAAGACCTCGCAGCTGCACTGGCAGAGGACACAAAGGTGAGGCTCAGCCAATAGGTGAGCTGACAGAAACAGGACCCTAGCAGATGGTGCCATACTAGGATCTAGTAAGACGACATTCAACAAAGATAAACGCAAAGATGCACACTTAGGCCCAAGAACTTCACTCACTCACGTGAGCTGGAGGAACGTGGCTTCGAAGCAGTATCTGTGGAAAGTGGGACGGCACTGAAGCTGACTGTGCATTCAAGCTGGACTTGAACTCCATTAGTAGCCCAGGCACAGTGTTTGGAATGAGACTGCCAAAGAGGAAAAAGGTGGAAAAACAAAACCAACACAGCCCAAGACAGGGTGAGAACAGCGGAGCAGCTGAAGCCCAATGGGAACTTGGAGAACCTCTTGCATAGCTCCATTTAGACCTAGGGATAGAGGGAGGGAAGAGTCGCCCTGCTCTCCTCTGTCCTGAGTAGACATGCAGAGGAACAGGGTGAACAGGATGTCTCCCTGAGGTCAGTACAGAAGCACAGTGAGAAGCCAGGATGAGAGCAACAGGAAGATTAATGGCAAAGAAGCTAGAATCCAGAGGGATGGAAGCTGCATATTTAAAGAATTTATTAAGACACAGACTGGGCGGGGGGGGGGGGTGAAGAAAGAATTAAGATGTGTTATGTACATGGACCACCTCCCAAGGAACGTAACCATTCTGTCCTACAAACATGAACTAATAGAAAGATAAAATAAAATAAAATATTTTAAAAAGACAGATTGCTGGGCCCCATTTCCAGAGGTTCTCATTCAGGAGATCTCGGTGACCTCAGAATGTGATCCTCCCACCTCACAGTACTGAGGATTGAACCCTTTTTTTTTTTTTGAGACAGGGTCTCTTATGTAGTCCAGACTGGTTTTGAATTCGCTATGTAGCCCAGGCTGGCCTTGGAACTTGCAGAGATCCTCCTGCCTCACCCTCCCGAGTGCTGGGATTATAGGCATGCACCACCACGCCCAGCTTTTTTCTTTTATTTTGACACAGGGTCTTGTTAAGTCACTATCATGTCCATGCTGGGTTTGAACTTGTGATTCTCCTGCCTCAGCCTCCCAGGGTTCTGGAATTATACCACACCCAGCTAGAATCTGCATTTCTTACAAATCCCAGGTGAAACTGATATAGCTGGCCCAGTGACCATGTTTTGAGCATCACTGATCTAAATAACAAATCTATAGTTTGTGTCTTTGTTTTGTTTTTTTTTTGATACTCTGCATTCCTAAGATTTTTTTTAAGACACAATGGGAAGTTTCCTAATAAATCCAAATTAAGATGAATTTACTGGTTGTGAAGCTTTACACATTTGTATTTAAGATTATGTTCTTTCTAAAACCTCATATTGCTTAGCAGAAATTCAACCTTTACTTTCTGATCCTTAGTATTTCTTGTTTGTTCACCTTCATCAAGCAGACTCTTGTTTCTGCTATTGCTTCATTTTCTGGCTTTTTATATGTTGCTCTCTAGTCTTTTTCCCTTTTTTCCAGTATTTTTTTTATTACATTCAACACATCAAGCTTCATGACATATTAAGATGTGACCTGCTTTCATCAAATGATATCTGGCTCCCCAGCCCCTTTCAAAGTAGGATCCTTTACCCCCAAAGCCCATAATAAGTTCAACATCCCCACAGCCGCATTATTCAACTTTTGATTGATTTTCTCTCCTATACTTGAATCTTCAGCCTTATTAGCATATGAGAATGCGTATAAAATGACATGCAAAGCAATGCAAATGAATATCAACATACATCTTGAAACTGCTCCGGTAAAGTCTGGAAGCATTGCTGCTGATGTTATCTGCTTCGTTTCACTGCACTTTGACGAGCAGACACTCAACCCTTCATCTGAGCTGATCTCTTACGGCATCTAGCACCTAACACTTGCTGACACTCTTGAGGTGGGGTGAGAGGGATCCTGGCCTTTATTTACTACTCTGGCTCTATGGCCTTGGACAAGTCTCGGAATTCCTCAGGGATCAGATGCTGCGACTGGAAATGACAGGTATGACATCACGGAAACAACCTCATTGTAAGAACACAAGCAGGGGCAAGGCTTCTGAGCACTTGCTATGTCAGATACAAGGCACACATGACGCACGCATTGCATCCGTGTGATGCATCTGAGGTGTGATCAGCAAATACGGTGACTGTTTAAATTTTTTAATTATAGTAAAAGATACATTGCTGCTAATATCCGCAACCCCTCCTCTTGTTTTGAACACACTTACCCCATTGTTCTTGCTGTTTGCCAAAGCAGTTCTCAAAGTCCTCTTCCATGAATGTCTTTGGTTGCATTGTGGGGGCTGCCTCAATGTCCTAAATCATTCAAAATATTTGCTTTTCATGGTCATTTTGACTTTGGGGAAGAAGCAGAAGTTACATGGTGCCTTTCCATTGGATGTTACTTGGTAGGAACATTCACTGCATTTGTGATCGCACCTTGTAAAGAGACTCATGAAAGAGGACTTCCAGAACTGCTTCAGAAAGGGGCAAGGATGATGGGATGAGTGTGTGTGAAGAGGGGGAATATTTTGAGGGAGATTATTGGCAATAATAATTCAAAAGCTTAATTGGTTATTTCTCGCATAGAACTGGATCCTCAGAAAGTGCAACCTAAGATCAGCTCTCTGCAATAATTCACTTTTAAAGATTTTACTTCCTCAAGACATTCAACAGAAACTGCCAAAATGGACTATCAGTTTCTAAATCGTCTTAGGCTGATATACATGGTTTAATAATCAGGACATGTTTTATACATAAGATCAAAAAGAGAGCTCTAAACAACTGACACTATCCCCACCCCCTCAGTCTTCTAGTTTGTTACTCTTCCGATCTAGAAATAAGAAAAAGTGTAGGAGCGCCCCAGGGCCAACATCACTGGGTTCTCCAGGCAGGAGGCCCCTGCGCATCATTTCCAGGCTGCCCCATCCGGGAAAAGTTGGCTGTTCCACTTACAAAACAGCCCCCACCCACTTGGCCCGTTCGCCCACGTAAAGGCGGTAAAGGCAAGTTCGGAGCGCCCCGCGCGGATCCCCGGCATTCCCGGCCCTCTGGAGAGGGGTCGGTCGGGCTCGCTCTGCGGCAGGAAAATGACCCTGTGGGGTGCGCGCCCCATGACGCGCGGACATTGGGAACTGCGAGGAGACTCCTGCTCCGAGCTCCCCGCGTCGCCCCGAAGCCCACGGGGGGGGGGGGGGGTGGCCCTCGGACACCGGGGTCCAAACCGTCGGGCCCCGCTCTGACGAGGCGCGCGCTCAGGAGCCGCGTTCCCAGCGTGCCGGGGGCCCGGGAGAGCGCGGAGTCTCCCAGCGCGGCCTCGGGAACTTCCCGCGCCGGCCCGAAGTTGCAGCGGTGCCGCGGGGCGCTCCGAGGCCTCCCCGCCCTCCGGGCCCGCTGGCTGCGGGGCGAAGCCAGGTCCGGAACAGGCGGAGACCCCGGCCCCCACCCTGGGAGGGACGACGCACGCGGCGCCCCCGCCTTCCCTGCGGGAAAGTGAAAGTCTCGAGCGGGAAGGGTCGGGTCCCGGCCCACCCCAGGCCGTGCGGGCCCCCCGCTCCCCGGGCCTGCGCGGCCGCGGCGACTCACGAAGGGAACGGCGGGGTCTCCGCGGCTGCGGGCTGAGCTCCCGGCCCCGCGGCCCACTCGCGTCCTCCTCCTCGGCCCGCGCACTGCCGGGAGCTGCTCGCCCGCGGCCGGGGTGGGAGAGCGGCCGGTCTGTGACGTGGGCAGGAGGAGCTCCCGCCCTGCCCTGTCCCGCCGCGCCCACCGCAAGTTGTGCGCTCGGCAGAGCCCCCAGTCCCAGCCGCTGCCCGAGTGCCACCGGGTTCGATTCCCTCCCCGTTCCACAGCCGAGAGACCCGGGGTCCGGAGAGGCAGGGGGAAGACGGACTCACTTCTGCGGCTCGGCTGCGCCCTGAGGGCCAGGTTGCGCGCGGCTCGGGCACCTAGGGTGTCGGCGCTGAGACCCCGACTGCCCTGCGCAGCCGGGCGGAGTGTTATCAACAGCGTGGGAAGGTGGAGCCTTTTGGCCAATAAAAAGGGTACAAAGTTGTTTTTCAATCAGTGCCTACCTGCCACCTGGGCTTCCTCTTTACCCCAAAGCGGGGGTGAGGGAGGCAGGGCGGGCGTGGTATCCAGCCCCACTCGGCTCGCCGAGTTCTGGCCCGGCCCGAGAGAAGGCGCACGTTCCCAGCCGGGCAGAATCTGACCCAGGACCTTCTCAGGGGGCGCTTGTAACTGGCTGACTTCTAAAGTGGGGATCCTTGCTGTGCTTGCTTCTTCCTCGCCTCCTGGAATCTCCTGGGACTCCAGGGTCGCGGTGCACCAGGTGAGTCAGTCCTGCTGGTTCATTACCTCCTCCTTCCATCCTTGGGTTCAGGGACAGCCGTATGCCCGGCCGGTTGATGGGGAGCTAGGTAGGACCCAGCGAATCCTAAAGAGGGAGCCTCAAGTGGGACCCATGTGTCCTTTACTCCGGGTACCTGGAGTCAGCCCACATCAGTCGGGACTCTCAGTCAACCCTGCCTTTTTAAAAGAACTCTCCTGCTCGGGTGCACATGTTTTCATATCCATTTTACTGACTTATTTTGAAGCCGACAGCCCGCTTTGCCCTCATCCCCCTTCTCCCAGGGGACCTCTTCTTTCGGGAGGAGTCAGTAAGGTTACTTTTCTAGGTCTCCCTCCAGAGGAGGAAGAAGAGAACTAAGGTTCTGGTAGCCCCTTTAGCTTAAAGTTCTAACCCATTTATGCAGATTAACTCCTTAGATCCCCACAACCTTTTGAGGGAGTGCTGTTTTTATTCTGATTTTACAAATGAGGGGAGCAAGGGGCCAGGGGGTGAAAAAACTTGCCAGTAAGTGGCAGAGCCAGAACTCAGACTCAGGTGGCCAGTGGGATCCAACCTCTTAACCACGAGGGAGCCCAGGCCTGGGCCTGGGATTCAGAGGGATGACGACATCATCAGCCACGGCCCCCACGTGACAGCTTCCAGTTCTCTCAAGGAAGACTCGCTAGGAAACACAAATGCATCCCTCTCAACTAGGCCAATGTTGTTTTGAACACAGTACATCATATTATAAAGTGGACATCCATTTGCTCACTGGCTCCAACTCTCAAACTATTTTGTCCTATAGCAAACCATTTTTGCAATGGGACCTTACAAACACCTTCAGGCCAAGGTTGGTAAAATTTGTTTTGAATTGTTTTCTGCTCAGATCAAACCCAACTCTTTTCCTTTCTTCTCTGTTCATTGCCTTCAGTTACTAACCTCATCCCTTAAAATCTTGCTCCACCCGGCCCCCAGGTCTTCTGTAAGTGAGTTGCCAAGGCCAGGTAGGACCTGGAGAAGGGCCTATCAGGCCCCCAGCAGGCCTGGGGCACTCTGAATTCCTGTATCTGTTCCTGTTCTGCCATAATGAATCAGCATACAACCGGGTGACTTAAAACAATAGAAATGCATGTGCTGGCAGGGCTGCAGTCCTTCTGAAGGCTCCAGTGGAGAACCCTTTTCTGCCCCTTCCTGGTGGCCTGCACTCACTGGTGTTCCTTGGCTTGCTGCACCCTCATTTTGTTTCTGCTTAACAAGGGCACTGTCATATAGCCTTCTTTTCCTGTATACTTTTTTTTTTTTCCCAAGGGTACCAGTCATTGGATTTACACCTATCCTCATCCAGTATGACCTCACCTTAACTGGTTTATAACTGCAACAACCCCATTTCCAAATGAAGTCACAGTCACAGATTCTAGATAGATGTGAATGGGGGGGGGCACTAACCTGGTACCATCCCCAAAAGTCACTGTTAAAAGTCCTGAGCTGAGGATGCAGAAGTATAAATTACAGCCACACCTTCAAAGAAACTCTGGTTACTGAGGTAGGACTTGTAGTCAACTACTGTAAATAACTAAGCCAGGAGATGCTAAGAGCCAACAGCCTGAGGCCACATGACAATCCATGGGCCAAATGGCAGTTGTGCTCCAGAAATTCGGCCAATGGAACAGTCCCTGAGGATGCCAGTAGGGACATTCACTCACTCTTAGGTCAGGGTGATGCAGGCACACCCTTGAAAGAAAAGTAAGAAAAGCAAAGATAAGAAATGAAGGCTTATTAGAGAAATGCAAATTAAAACAAGGTTAAGATTCTATCTTACTCCAGAAAGAATGGCAATCATTAGGAAATCAAACAATAACAAATGCTGGTATGGCTGTGGTGAAAAAGGAACCCTCCTTCATTGTTGGTGGGAAAGCAAACTAGTATAACCATTATGGAAATCAGTGTAGAGATTTCTCAAAGAACTGAAATTAGAAATTCCATATGACCTAACTATCCCCCTGCTAAGTATCTTCCCCAAAGAGTTTAAGTCATTAGACTACAGTGATACACACATACCAATGTTTATAGCTGCACAATTTGTAATAGCTAAATCCTAGAAGCGGTTGGTATACCCATATACAATAAACAATTGGATAAAGAAAATGTGGTATCTATATATAATGGAATACTACTCAGCTATAAAGAGTGAATGAGACATTTGAGACATTTGTAGGAAAATGGATACACATGAAAAATATAATATTGAATGAGATAAACTAGACACACAAGCTTAAATACTGTATGACATCTGTCATTTGAGTGAGGCAAAGTACAAACAAAGAAAATGATATAGATAGAAAGGGACAAGGGTATGGCTCTCATGCAATAGGGAAGTAGTTCAAGGGAAGAAGGATGAAGGGTGCAGAGGAGAGGAAGGGGAAATGAGAGGAATAAAGATGGGCCATACAGGAACCTAATAACTTCAATTAATGTAAACATTGTGTGCCATAACATGAGCTAAGACAAATAATATCAACAAGTATGAGAAAGGGGGTAGGAGAACAGGTGGGGGAGGGGAAGGGAGGGAAAGGGATTATAAAAAAAAGCTACACTATGTACATGTAACCACTCCCCAAAGTTGTAAACTGTATTAATTGCAAACATGTACTGATAAAATTTTTAAATTATTTTAAAAATAATTTTTAATACATAAAAAAGAAAAAATAATGAAGGCTTATAAAAAGCACATTGGGGGTGAGGAGGAGGTGTGTGTGCCTGGCAGGATCTCACTCCTGAAGTTTCATGCAGAAATGAGAGGCCAAAGAAAGGCAGATACTTAGCATGCCAGGTATATGAACATGATGAATTCCTTCTACAGTGATACACAGTGATACAGTGATACGATGTCATAGCAATTAGCAGGCTTTAAAGTCCTCTGAACTGGAAGTGTAGCCTTAGTAGAATGCTTACCTGGCATGCTTGAGTCTCTGGGTTCCATACCCTCAACACAACAAAGGAGGAGAGAACAGAGGGAATCAAGGAAGGGAGGAAGGGTCTCCTTCCAAAGCATTTCTTGTGATCTTTATAACAGTCCTGAGCACTATCAGAGAAAAGAACATTGTATCTTATATATAAACAAGGATGTGAGTCTCAAAGGGGTCACATAACTTGCCCAGGCAAAAGAGCAACTATAGAGTTGGTATAAACACTGGTCTGGATTTTCCTTGTTTAAGAACTGCACTACCAAAAGATGTTGCCTCTTGGGTCAGCATTTTAGTATGAGTTGTGTGGTTCTTGATCCAAGGAAAGCTTTTACAGAAAGGGGCATTCCTGCAAGAGAGGGAAAGCCTCCCTGATGTGAGTCCCATACTGAAAATACAGTGAACCTTCCAAAAATGTCTGAACTGGTTTCAGTAAATTGTGTAAGGATTTCCTAGTGTTTTGAAGACTCCTTTTGGCCTTCAGAGACTTCATTGGATTCAGAACCTTCTGCAGAATTTGGCTGATTACCTTGAAGAAATAAAGGTTAAAGGCACACAGAGACATCGGTAAGAAGTTGCAAGGAAGTTGAATACAAGTGAGAAGAAATTATATCATAGGATGATGAGCCAGCAGCAATTAATACTCAGAATTCAATGCATGATCTTACCAAGGTGGAGTCACACTCAGGACAAGATCCTGGTGTATTTTGAAGACTTTCTGATAAAGAATGTGTAACTATAAGAAGCAACTGGAGGCAAATAGAAAGTCCAACCCTGAGCTGATATCTAATGATTTCACACGTTTCACTGGAGTTTTCTTTACTTAGGAAGCATGTAACTTGCTTCCTTTGCTGGCTGAGTCTTTAAAGATACAGATATTTCAAAGGCTGAGATGCTTTTGCGTCTAGTGTGAGTCACTGAGTTCTTGCTTGTTCAAAGTGCTACACTGGTTGCTATGGGAAAATATAAAAATATAAAAGACAGTCACTGAGCTCAAGAAATTCCTATGTAATTTAAGGGATATGAAACATATAGGAAAAAATTACATAAGTGTGGTTGCAATGAAATTTGTAAATCTTCCTTACCACTCGGTTCTCTGTTCAGATGTAATGTCTTAAAACCAGGCATTGCCTGGCCACTGTGTTTTAAACACTTGCCTCCTCTACCACCATAGCACCTTTTGGCTTTAATCATGTTTTATACTATTTCTGATACATTAGGTCAAACTAAGTTTGGTCTGAGAATGCCCCTGCGAATGGAGTCCTAAGGTAATGAACTACAACCTAATTAAAGGTAAAGACACTGGGCATTTGCCTTTGTAACAAATAGCTGCATCTTAACCAATTGCAACAACTGAGCTTCAGTCCATCACAGGTGGTCAAATGCCAAACTGTAACCAATTCAGCTATACCTCACTTCTGTTTTCTGTATCTTACTTCCTTTTCTTTGGTTGTAAATATAACCTGCATATGTTGGGGTGGTTTGCAGCATTCTGAACCATTTCTGTTCTGGACTGCAACCTGATCCTAGAGTGGCAAATAAAAGCCAATTAAGATTTGAAAACTAGTGTTATGGCTTGTATCTAAATGTCCC